CGTATTGCTTCTCGCAAACGGCGCATAACTTCAAGATAATACTGTTTATTGACCGTACGTCCATACAGTAAGAACTCCTGATGCACCACGCCATGGTAATCGAAGAAAACAGTGAGCAAAACTTTGACATTTGATCGAACTTGGCGTGCTTTTTTCGGTCTTGGCTCATCTAGGCTCTTCCATTGAGATGATTGGACTTTGGTTTCGATATCATAACCATATACCCATGATTCGTCACCAGTTATGACCCTTTTGAGTAAATCTGGGTCGTCGTTGACGTCATTCAACAATTCTTGAGAGATGCTTATGCGCCGGTTCTTTTGGTCAAAATTTAGCAATTTCGGAACAAACTTCGCTGACACACGTCTCATGCCCAAAACGTTAGAAAAAATTTCATGGCACGAGCCAAGCGTTATACCAACATCCTTAGAAACTTCTCTGATAGTGATTCGACGATTTTCCAGAACAATTTTCTTCACTGCTTGAACGTTTTCATCAGTTGTTGACATGCTTGGGCGTCCAGAGCGAGGCTCATCATTGGTATCTTCCTGGCCATCTTGGAAGAGTTTGTACCACTTGTAAAAATTTTTTTTACTCAGAACAGTTTCACCGTATGCCACCGTCAACATTTCAAGTGTTTCGGAGCACTTTATTTTATTTTTTACACAAAATTTGATGCAAATCCTTTGATCCATATTTTTCGATAGCAAGAAATCGCCGAGCACGCAAAACACTTATAACCTTTACGCCTCTCACAACCAAACAAAAAATGTTATACACTTGAAACTTCGTACAGATGTTCGGGAAGAGTGTACCAAAATAACAAAACAAAAAAATCGATAATCGAAAGTACGTTACCCGTGAAATTTGAAAAGTCACCTTACTTTTTGAACACACCTCGTATTATCATTGCGTAAATTCGCGGATCAAGGGTTGAAAATATTTCTGGATAATAAGTGCGTAAACATATACGACCCAAACACTAGGAAAATAATAATATCCGAAAAATACAATAAACCATTTTGGGAGATTGAACTAAACTTAAATAAAAATTATCTCAATAAATCAACTCAAGGTCATAAAAAGATTTTAGTTAATTTGGCGACTAGAAGTGGAAGATTAATTGGAAATACCGTAAATAAACCGGAAACTAGTCAGAATTTAAACGATAAAACGACGCCACAAAAAAAGTTAATTTGCACCATTAACAACCGGAAAATTGTAAACGCTGGTAAACTGACTGTTGAAAACGTCCAAGGCGCAATTAGACTACAAACTGAAAGGCGAGAAAAACTAAATACTGTCTTATTGTGGCATGCTAGACTTGGACACATGTCTCCTCAGCATATGCAAAAATTTAACGTTATATATCCAGACTTGAAGGATTTCACGAGTTCTGACTTTGACGAAGGCATCAGAGAATGCGACGTATGCTTTCGTGCAAAAATGAATAAACTACCCTTCACCAAAGTCAGACATCGAGAAGGCGCCCCGCTGCTAAAAATTCACGCGGATGTTATGGGATACATAAGTCCAGTGACTTATCTCGCTCAGTATCGGTTCATAGTTTGTTTTATAGATAGCTATTCAAGATACGCTGGGACGTACCCGCTTAAACATAAAAGCGACGTGCCTAATTGCTTGAGAGAATTTATTGTATCAGTTAGAAATCTAATCGGAGCGGATGTTAAAATATGTTTTATGGAATACGATCAAGGAACTGAGTTCACAAGTAAAGATACTGTAAAGGTTCTGAGGGAGTTCGGCGCGCAGCTACTGACAGTTTGCCCAGGCACGCCCGAACATAATGGCGTAGTTGAGCGTTTTAATCAAACAATACAAAAAAAGGTCAGAGCTCTGATGCTTGATTCAGGATTACCTCCTAATATGTGGGACATGCACTAGGCGTAGCCACTTATATTTACAACATCAGCCCACATAAAACATTAGGCATGCAAGCTCCGATAAAATTAATAGCTCCAAACTTCAGATTTTATATAAATCAATTAAAAAGATTCGGATGCTTAGCTTACGCGACAATCCAAAAGGAGACGAAATTTAAGGCAGAATCGATTAAATCATTCTTGGTGGGTTACTTGCCAACCGAATACGTGGTGTATCACCCGGAAACCAAAAAGCTTATAGAAACAAAGCACGTACGGTTTGTAGAAAGACTCGTATATGGTGATATACAAAAAGAAAGTGTAGAGAAACTAATCTTTAATAGAATCGACGCCACAATCCAATCAAGTGAAAGCACAACCAAACGAACTCTACCGGTGACAAACTCAATTCAACGAGCTGCAAGCTCAGAATCTGAGGGAGAGGCTACAATTCAACCGGTCAAACGTAAACGCGGTAGACCGAGAAAAGTCGCGATCGAACCGACTGCGTTGTACAAAGGCGTAAAATATGGACCTAAAGTATTGTTCGTGTCACCCACAGGCGAGGTCGAAGACGAGTCGAACATTCAGTATTATGTACTCTTGGCTGATATTATTGGAGATCCGAAAAATTACAGGGAGGTAATGAGTAGACCCGATAAGATAGAATGGAGCTAAGCGGTCAACTTCGAACTTGACGCAATGTTTTTGAACGAAGTCTTTCGTGTGGTAAATTGACCAAAGGTAGACTCCTGTGGCCGTAAACCTCACATACTAACCACTAGATGGGTTTTTAAGAAAAAAGTAGATTTCATTGGATTAAAAATCAAAAAGGCTCGGCTGGTAACTCGCGGATTTCAAGACAAGAACTCTTACGATTTACATGAAATATATGCGCCCGTCACAAGACTCTCTTTAGTACGGGTAGTTTTAGTTTTTTCCAATTAATATGACCTAGAACTCTGCCAATTTGATAAAAAGCCTTCTTAAACAGTGAAGTACATGACGAGATTTACATTGAAATCCCAGAAGGTTTGCCTTACACTGACGCGGAAAGAAAATTATTAGTATGTCTGCTTAAAAAATCGATATACGGATTAAAAACTAGCCCAAAAAGATGGTATAATACATTCTTTGAGTTCATGAAAGAACTTGGCTTTACCACGAATGAAAACGATCCATGTTTATTTGTTCTTTACATTGGAAATATAATAATTCTGGCTCTCCTGTACGTAGACGATATCATAATAACAGGAAATGACAAGGCGACGGTTAATAAATATAAAGAAGAATTGCTGAAGAGATTCAGAATGAAAGACTTAGGCGAACCAAAGGAATACCTTGGCATAACTATCATTAGGGATAGAAAGGCGGGAATTATCAAGCTTAATCAAAAGAAATTCATCGATAATATGCTTAAAATATTTGGGTATGAAAACGCACACCCACAACGATCACCAATGATGACCAATCAGGTACTGAATCGAGAAAGACGAACTAGGGAAGGCGAACTTAGAAACGAAAAGGTCAAATCACCTACGCTGTTTAGAGAAGCGGTAGGTTCGTTAAATTATCTAGCGAACGCTACGAGACCTGACATATCGTACGCTATAAATGTACTTAGCCGACATCAGTTGAATCCCACAGAATTATAGTGGAAGATGATGGTACGCGTATTTAGGTATTTGGTGCATACAAAAATTCTGTCCTTGACTTATAGAGGAAAGAGCGAGGGAATAGATGCATACTCTGATGCGAGTTTAGCGGATTGCAAAGGGTCTATAACTACTTGCGGGTATCTAGTCAGACTGTTTGGCGACATCATTACTTTGAAGTCACAGAAACAACATTATGTATCTCTGTCTACATGTCAAGCTGAATATATAGCTATGAGCGAAGCATGTAAAGAAATGATAGCGCTGGGTCTTTCACTGGAGCGATTTGCGAGTAAAAACCTCTACCCAATGACCTTGAAGTGCGATAATTTAGCGGCAATAAAGTGTACACAGATCGAAGGAGCAGTAGGGTTGAGACATTTAACCGAGATACGTTATCACTTCGTTAAACAGGTCGCGAAACGGAAAAGGGTCATTGTTGAATGGGTTTCTTGTAAACAACAATTAGCTGACATTTTTACTAAACCCTTATCCTTTGACATACGTAAACATTTAACTTGTGAGATATTTAATATAATTTAATCTGTTACAGACGTTGAAAAACAAAGATACTTGGGCGATGACTTTGATCAGCTGAATCAAAACCAATAATCTCATGATAGCAAAAAACTGCCAGAATATTATGAATACGATGAAAGAGGATGCCATTTTATTGTAAACGGCGACAATCATACATGTATCGACGAACAAGGCAATCACTTTTATTGGGATTACGACAAACAAAACTGGATTTATTATAAAGGAATATGGTAGTTGTTAAAGATAATAAATAAAAAAATAAATAAATAAATAAATAACTCATCTAGGCGTTGGTACATTGACAAATGATTTATGTTCGCTTCTTTTCTTTTGATAACACTTCAGTATGGAAGTTTGAGTTCCTTATGTTAACTTTGATATTTAAATATGTAAGAATAAAGTTTCATATAACGAGCCAAAGAAACAACCTGGTCATAAGTATATAATGTATATAGATATGTAAAGTGATGTTAGATCGTACTGAGTAACTTAATATTATATACTATTTGAGACGATACCGTAGTCTCGACGTGAGGGAGTGTTGGAAATATCAAAGTATGTGAGCGTCTCCACTTCGGTCGCATCTGCGCCTCCGCGCTGCTCTCACGAGCGGGCTGACTCTGGGTCTCCACGCTGCTTCTGAGCTTTAGTTAGTAGTAAGCGTTCGCACGTGTTCTTAGGCGCTCCCTCAATAAAATTTATTTTTTGGCGAATCCTTTGTTTTCTTTATTTGCTCTGCCCAACCCATTATTCCGTCAGAAAGTAACTTATGCACTCAACTGTATTACGTCTGATAGCAAAATCATGTATTTATCGATAGAGTAAACTAAACTGTTCATTTGATTATATTCTAAATATCCCCTACCACTATACAATTATGTGTACAGTAATAATATAAATTATTATCTTATTTCTGTTACAGAATTTATGGAAGTTATGACCGGAGGAGATGAGTGAGGGCAAATATTGTTCAATCATAGTATAATAAGATTATTTTTGACAGTGTGAAATATTCTAGATAATCGATAAACTAGTCTCTGTAATAAACAGCTAATAAAGTTATTAACTTTGTCGATACCATATCCTTTTCATCCTCTAGCTGGTATGAATTTATTTCAAAATGTTTTGTCACCATGAATGATCTAGCATACTTTGAAGTAAACTTTGCAGATATTTATTAGCCTTTCAGGAGACTGTGCATTTTCTCGCTCAGTAATCGAATCGACTACCGTTGCAGGATATACACTAACATAAATAAATGTAATAATGTAATACTAACATAATTAATACATAAATATTTATTCTGTAAAAACTGTACTGAAAAATGTCACAAAAATTTCAATAAAATATTGCTGACATGTTTCAAACTTTTTATGAAACTTTGCAGAAAACTTGCAGCTTCGTTTAACGCTATGTGGGAGGCTATCAGTGGTTACCTGAGCATGAATCAGCTTTTGAAAATATAAATAAGATTTTTATTGACACTATTACTTTGAAATTTCGTTATCCTAGTAAACCTTATATATTAACGGCTGATGCTAGTTATCATACTATAGCCGCTGCTTTGTCTCACTTAAATAGTAAAGGCGAAGAAGGAGTTATACTTATATCTAGAACTTTGAAAGGCGCGGAATTGATTTATTTTAGTACCGAAAAAAAACTTTTAGCTGTAGCTTGGTCGTGTCTAAAATTGGAATCATTTCTAAGATGTTCGAAAGAAATAATTATATATACGGATCATGAAGCGTTGAAATTTTTAACAACTTGTAAATTTACGAATGCGAGATTAGTGAGGTAGTGCTTGTTTTTTTCAAGACTATAACATTACGTACAAGTATTTACCAGGCAACAAAAATAAAGCTGCTGATTTCCTATCAAGGTACATAACGGACTGCAGCAATGACCACACCGATGAAATTTAAGTCGCTATGTTGATGAAAGATCCTTCTTGTGATTCAATTAAACGTTTCAAAAATCTTGATTTGTTACAACAAAGGGATGACTATATTCAAAAATTAATAAAAATGGAAAACTACTAGCAATTATATGTGATCACGGTACTCAGTTCACTGTAAAAGCTTAGAAAGAAAAACTTTCTTCATCTAAAATAAAATTGATATACTCTAGTACTCGTTACCTACATAGTAATATTGGGGAGCGGATACACAGAGAATTGGAAAGATTTTTAAGGACTTACGCCAATGAAAATCACAATGGCTGGGCTCCGTTAATCTCAAAATACAAGAAATTATGAACTGTGTGTATCACGAAATAAATAACACAAAACATAGGAAATAAGAATCAAAGCTCATAGAGAACTGGATTCATGAGACTTTTTTCACATGGATCATTCAGTCTCAAGAGGAGGCTATATAACGGTCCTATCTATGAGCACTTCTCTTATTTTCACTGGATTACAGCAACCCGCTAAACTCGTCAATCTACTTACATCAATTAGCATATTAAATGGCACCACTTCATATATTATATGATTGTACTAGTACTAGAGTCAAATTTCATGACCATATAAGGAGCATGACGTCACATACTTATAAATATAGATATAATAGTTTTTGTTATTTAATTAAAATACGTTAATTAAGAATAATTCCAATGTAACAAAGCATTTTTTATATAGATTTTAGAGTATAGATTCAGATTATAATAATAATTTTAATTGTTTTTAATTAATAAATTATATTGAAATTTAATGTGCAAATTTAATTTGTTTTGTAATGGGGTGAATACCGTTTAATTATTTTTATTCGCGCGGAGTCATTAGAGGGCGAATATAATCATCTATGCTCAATACACAATCCGGAGAGCATGGGAAAACGGGTGTCAGTCAACCAGTCAATCTACTAATCTACGAGAAAGCGAGTGGAAGCAATATGGAATGAGCGAGTCGAAAGCACTTGTTAATGTCACGAATAGAATCTTTTATTATCTATCAAATGCTACATAAGATCGGCCCGCGTGTTTGTTTACATCGACCCTCGCACGACGACAACATGCAGTGTCGGAACGCTCGCTGCTCTTTGTTGGAAGAGCTATTACATGCACGCTTGAGATGTCGGAAAAATTAATCGTCGACCGCGAGATTAAGCTGGCCAGCTTACCTTAATATCGCAGGCGTACGAAGATGACACTAATGAATCACACTGCGAGGGAACTGTTTCGTGTTTGTGTCGCGGATCGCGAGTTCGCGCACACGTGGTTTCGCCCTCGATGGCGAAACCTCACACACACTCTCTCGATGTCTTCGCGGGCGACGCTTCTCCGTCGGCTCTGGCTTCTCCCCTTGGCAGTTGTACGGCACCTTGGCAACAGCGATCACTGCTAGCTGGCACTAATCTGGGCGTTCTTCTCTCGGTTTTTGGTCTTAACGGTACACGGATCGGCAATAGCGAAAAAGAAAAGCGGGCGAACGTGATAGTGGTCAATGCTTCACTGGTTCAATTTCAATCGCGCGCGTTCCGTCTGCTCGCGCGCCGAATTCCTTCGTTACGTTTTTCGTCTCCCCGGTAGGTGCTGCCCTCGCGAGCAGCAATTAGGTTACCTCATTAGCGCTAATTCGACGTTTACCGTCACAGTTTATTACATTGTAAATATTAATTATTAGAATAATGCGGATACTCTAAATTCATGATGAATATCTTTGAAACATGAGTAAGAATTCGTTTCATTGATAACAGCTTAGTTATTACTATTATCAATAGCTAAATAATTAATAATTTATTTAAACAAATAATTGTATATGAATCAAAAGCGTTAATTTTGTACATAACAATGACATTTTTATAATTTATTAATCTTAATTAACTGATTTATTATTTGCATTATAAGATTTTACAAAATACTGTTGCAAATACAAAAATTGATTATAATTCAAATGTTATTAACTAATTTAAGTAGTTTATTTTAGGAATTACTTCTACTAGTGTATAGATATATGTAAAATTTTATCATTGTTTTATTGTAAATATTGCACTATTATATTAATTATTGGAGGAGTTAGTTTTATTTATATATGCACTTATATGTATAATTAGTAAACACTAGTTTATTAACTCTTAAATTATCCGAACTCTTTATTAACTCTTAAATACAAAATATAGAATATAGATTAAAGAAATACTGCACACACTGCTAAGTTACAACCAAACAAAAAAACTCTTAAATAGTTGTCTCAAGAAAACAAAAACGTTGCTGTCGCTATCAGCGTTAAGCAGAGAGTGAAAAAGAGAGCATTTTATTCTCTCCCTCCGAGCTGCGCCAAAACCGAGCCGCTGGAAGGTGGCGCCTCCAGTGGTGGTCACGACGTACATTTTCACTCTCTCCCGTCGTAAGCCTCACTCTGAATTTTCCTTGTTAGAGGATCCTGTAAAATAGATACATATAAAATTTTATTAACTTATTTGAGTAGACTCTGAATTAATTATTTTGTCTCTTAAGTATATGTGTTGTGGTGCTGGTAGAGGTTTCGTCATAATGTGAGCTATGTTCTCTTTACTTTCTACCCATTTGACCACTATTCTGTTTTCTAAGGCACACTTCTTAACATAATCTCCGTGAGTTACTGCCATGTAAATCTTGCTTCCGGTCTGTTCTCTTAATTTCAATTTTCTCTGAATTTCTGGAACTTCATCATCAAAGTTTTTCATCTTGTGAGATCCATCCTTCTGAGTGCATTTTCCAGCTGAGTCGTTGTCACACCAGATGGTGGCTGGAAAGTATGTTTTTCCAGTCATGTCTCTTATGGCTTTGTCAAGTGATATTATTTCTTGACATGCTTTACTCATCGTCAGATATTCTGCTTGGCAGGTGGAAAGTGATACATAATTTGTTTGTAGCTTCTCCACGCTACTGTATTTCCATATAATTTGATTATGTATCCACCTGTGGAGGTAGAGTCTGTTTGCTCTCTGAAGTTTGAATCTGTAAATGCCTCTAATTTGTCTCCTCCTCTTCTGTATATTAGCCCTACTTCTTTAGTTTTCTGCAGGTATCTAAAGATCTTTTTGACTTCTTTCCAGTCATTCTCTGTGGGTGCAGCTTGCTTTCTGGCCGTAAAGTTTACAGCATAAGTAATATCTGGCCTTGTCATTGCTGACAAGTATTGCAAATTGCCTATTGCTTCTCTGTATGGTGCTCTGCATGGTATCTCTCCGTCTTCGTGTCTTTCTGAATTAGATTCAATCTCTTTTCTTTTGGCTTGTCTGGTTATCATTGAAGAATTCTGTGCCTTGCAGTCCTTCATGTTAAATCTTTCTAATATCTTTTCTGTATAATCTGTCTGAGTTAGGGTCATGGCTTTATTTAATCTATCTCTCTGAATTTTTATTCCTAAGTACATGTTTGGTTTTCCCATGTCTGTCATCTGAAATGCTTCACACAGTTTAGATTTTATTTCCTACAGCTTTTCTTGATTATTACCTGCTAGGATTATGTCATCGACATAGAGTACAAGTATAATCATTTTTCCTTCCTTTCTCCACGTAAATAGGCATGCTTCATTGATGTCTCTCTCTAGACCTAATTTCTTAACTTCTTCAGTAAATTTATCATTCTATTTCTTTCGACTGATTTTTAGTCCATACAGTGTTTTCTCAAGCTTGCAGATTTTTCTTTTCTTTAGTTCTTCTGGAATGTTGAAGCCTTCTGGAATTTTCATGTATATTTCTTCATCTAGTGTATCATTTAAGAAAGCCACTTTCACATCAAGTTGCACTGCATCTAAGTCTTCTTGATTTATTATGGCAAGTGCAGATCTGATGATAGCTATGCGAGATACTGGTGCATAGGTTTCTCTTAATTCGTATTCATTCTTATCAGTATTGCTCTTATCAGTCTCTGAATTGTCTTATTGAATCTTTCTGCAGTTCCGTTCAGCTATGGAGTGTGTGGAGGTGCGAATTCTCCTGTGATGTTTTCATTCTTCATTATTTCTGCGAACTCGCCACCTATAAACTCTGTTTCGTTATCTGTTTTTATGAAGCAAACTTTTTCATTCCGTCCAAGTTCATTTCTCACATGTTCAAGGTAGCTTTTTAGGCATTTACCTGATTCATGTTTAGTCTTTGCATATCTGGTGTAATCATCTATAAATACGATAATGTAGAGATTCTGCCCTGGAAATGAGGTCGGTGAAATCTTTCCCATCGTATCTACGTGTATAGTGTGTAGAGGCCTGTCAGCACGTGATCGATCATTTTTGAAGGGAAGTTTCTCCATTTTTGCCAGAATACGCGATTCACAGTCCTTTACTTCATTATTGAACTTCACATTTTTTAGTGCTTCTTCATTTTTCTTCAGGTGATGCATATACTCTAATGAGATGTGGCCTAATCGTCTGTGCCAGATCATGCCATCACTTGATTTCTGGGCTGGAATCCCTGTATTCATGTTTGATGAACTGATCTAATTCAGTTTCTGAAACTTCTTGATTCAAGTCCAATATTTTCCTCTTTAGTTCGTTATTTTCTTCCATTTCTTCTTCTGAATTTACTTGGTTTCTCTGCGGATTTTTCTCTATCTTCTCCCTCCCAATCTCTAACTGATCCTCGTTCTCGCTTGCTTCTGCGGGGCAGTCAGTTTGAGATTGCGACAGAAAATCCGACAAAGTCACCAAGGAAGCCTTAATTGTGTGATTTTCGCAATTATAGTCTGAATTCTCCGATTCTTTCACGTCTAAACTAACTATCCAATTGGGGGATTCGTAAAACCCTGTTAAATGGACTTCATTTGTCTCTTTATTATATATTGTTAATTCTGAATCGTTTAGGTTGATATCATAACCTGCTTCAGCGAACTTTCTTAATGACAACAAGTTGTCTGAAGCCTCTGTTGCTAACAGTACATTTGACAAATAAATGTCATTGTCTTGTGGTATCGATTTTAGATACAGATTCCCTTTGCCATCTATCTTAATGTTCGCTTCTTTATTTTTATTGGCGCTCTGAATTTCTGCTAGATTACTCTTTCCGAAGTCTTTCAATAATAGTCCCGAATTTATTATATGATGTGTAGCCCAGGAATCTGCTATAAATTTAATATTGTTATCTAAATCAATTTTATTTGTTACTTTACCTTGTACGAGTCTTGCTTGTGGGTTGTCCCCTGATTTGTTTTTATTCGTGAACACTCTCGTGTAGAGGGTCGTATTTTTGCGGCTGTTACCTCCTCGTCTAGGTGCTTTCTCTCCCCTTCCTCTACCTCTACCTCTACCTCTATTGTATGTGTTTTTGTCATGTGTAGTGTTATTTTTATTGTCTTCGTTATTATCATACCTCTGAATTGCATTCGGGCAATTTTTGCCTTCGTGTTCCCTGAGCGCATTGCAGCTGTAGCAGAACCACAATCCGTGGAACCGCATTGTGCATTCCCCTCCTAAAGGAATTAGTAGGGAAAATACGAAAAAAACATTAAATAATATAGTAACACCTAACGAAAACACGGTACAAGAAGTTCAAGTATTTAATACGTAGGACGTAAACAACTCTGTAGAAAATCCACTTAAACGATTAACACAAAATTTTGAACACTCAAACTCATTATTAGATTTGGATTTTACTTTTGATCAGAATTACCAATTTTCATTTAATAATAACGAATACACAGAAATTGGTGGTATTTGTAATGAAGAGAGTATTTGCAAAGACGCAAAACGTACAATAAATACGAACGGAACGGACAGACAAGTAGTACTCTATAATCCAATCATTCAAACAAATAAATTTGAACAAGTCAATAACGACGGTGTAGAAACAAGCAACAAAATGACGCAACCGTTACGTTTACCGCTTAAATACGTTGCAGATTTAGTTCCAAAGTTCGATGGAAAAAATATAACAACTAAAGAATATATTGAAAAATTGAAACACGTAAAAACAATTGTTTCTGAGTAGATTAACCAAGTTTAATATCAATTCTGAAAATTAAATTGGTCGGAGAAGTTTACAAAGCATTAGTAAACATCAAAATAGATAAGATAAATGATTATATCAAAGTGATAAGGCAGCTATTTCCCTCCTTTGACAACATTCATAGTTTATATGGGAAATTTACGGAAATCATCCAAAAACCAAATGAACCCGTCTTAGCATATGCAAACCGTTTACAGGAAATAGTTTTGCAAATTAAAGAAATGAAAAAGTTAGAAGCAGACGTAACTGACGAAGATTTCAAAACGTACGAAACAGTATTAAATGCTGACGCGTTAAAAATTTTTAAACAAGGTTTACAACAAGACATTCGTTTAGAATTAGGAAATCACATTAATTTGGGTACTGCTTTACAAGACACTATTGAAATTGAAACAAACTTAAAAAAACAAAGATTATTGAGGGGTGATATCGCTAGTCCTTTTCATAGTAATGTAGACTTGGTTACTGCTTCAGCAAATGTTACTCACATATATAATTGTCAAATTTGCCAGGACTATAACCATAAAGCCTTATTTTGTTACAAAGAAGCTTGTGTATATTGTAAAAACAAAGATCACCTGTCAAACAATTGTAAAATTGTAAATAAAAAAATCGAATTGATATGTAAATTCTGTAATGCTCAAGGGCATTCTATAGACGGTTGTAAATTTAACAGAGTCAAAGGAAATCATTGCCAATATTGTCAGGTGATGGGTCGTACGGTTACACAATGCCCATTTATTATAGAATTTGAAGTATGTTGGAAACGTAAGGAAAGCGGACACGCCCCGCACAACTGTTCAAAATCTTTCAAATCAGCGAACTTTTGCGCTGCTTGCGACAGCAGCGACCATACGATACGCAATTGCCCGAATGTGACACGCGGCGTTGCAATGAAATCGGTCACTCAGTAAAATATTGCCCAAACGCGGACGAAACAAAAGAATGTAGATTTGAAATATGTACAATCTGTAAAGAAAAAGATCATGAAGCCAATAATTGTGAATTGGCAAGAATCCTGGTAAGCTATAGTAAGAACAATAGAAGTAACGATAATAAAATCAGTTCAAATAGAAATTCTAGTGACGATAAACGCAGAAATGGAAATTTTAATCACGATAACGGACCTTCACGATTCAATAATTTTGGGAAAAGAAATAATAACACTAAGTGTGATTATTGCCACATGAATAATCATATAATTGACAATTGTTTGAAATTGAGAGCTTTAGAAAGAAACGCAAAAACTACTAGTTTTTGTACTTATTGCAAGGAATCAGGTCATAAAGTCGAATCATGTCCAATTATAAAATCACTAGAAAATAACCAAGAAAAATTTTGTACAATTTGTAAACGTACCGATCATACAGAGTCGACTTGTTTCAGACGTAATAATCAGGGAAACGAATAGATTCTTCCGAACATGAGTGCACGGAGGAAATAAATACAAAGTCACTCGCTGCAGAATTAGGAGACAAAAAAACGACAACACGAAACATGGACAATAATGACCAAAATGAAACTCACGCATTAAATTTAATAGGACAATATGAGTCGCAAACCAAAACGGAAAAAAATAATAAAGTATGCCTCCAAAATGATAAACAAAAGAAACTTTATAATAAATATAATGACAATATAGAACTTACAAATATTATTGAAACTAAAATGCCAATATATTTCCTAAAATTAAAAAATTTGTTACAATACATACAGGTACCGAATCCGTTTTCGGGTGTTAATTTTAATTTACTTATAGATAGCGGAGCTCAAATCAATATCATAAAAAGCGATTGTAAACCATCAAACGCTATTTTGGACTCAGAAAAAATTTCATTATCCGGTATTACTGATAAAACAATTCAAACATTAGGTCTGATAAAAATAACAATTAATGGGTTGTTAATTTATTTTCATATTGTACCAAGAGAATTTTCAATCCCTTATAACAGCATTCTTGGCATACCTGTTCTGAAAGAAAATAAGTTAAGATTAGATGAAGGTTATTTGGAAATAAATAGTAAGAAAATAGAACTTGTATCAATACCGTTGACTCAAATGAACTCAATCGTTTTTACCGAAAACAAAAAGAAAGAGGAATCAAGGATAACAAAAGAACAAAAGGGATTTTTAAGTCAAATTTTACATGGCATTAATAAGGAAAATAAAACAAAAAACGAAAAAGAAAAACACTACGAAGAATCGAAAATCTTTGAGGAAAATAACAAATTTCGTCCACTAGAAAGAGAAAATATACTAGAAGACCCCGAATCTGTTACATTTCCTTGCACAACAACAACGGATAAAATACCTAAATAACGAAACAATGACTGTAAAGGATTTAACAGTAGAACGCGAGATCGAAAGTTGTAAAAACTCATTACTAATACCTTTTTCTTCCAAGGGAATAACGAACTTGGAAGCTGAATTAGAGAAAGACCTTTCC